ATCACTATTGACACTATTTGGCAACAAGAATGTTGTTTAACATTACACTTTGCCAAGCTGATCCTTACTGGGGCTTTCCATTTCTGGAGTGTTCAATCTCTCTGAATCCAGTGGAAGTTGTGCCAGGTGGTTATACAAGATGTGAAGTGGTAGAAATAGATTTTTCCTCTACTTTCTCTGCTAGTTGAAGCCTAGCTTGATGTGTCATAGATTTGCTTTCTCCCAAGAGCACAAATCTGTGATGGTTCCTACCCAAGACCCAAAGATTGTGCACAGCCCACCAGGTCAGATCCTGCTCTGCTGGGCAGTGGCATAAACCTGCATAAACTCAAATGCCTGAATTAATCTGGGTTTACCCTCAGGTAAGAGAGACTGATATGTGACCCAGGGTGCTGAGTGAGATCCTTGGCCTGTGGCCAGTGGGTTGTAGGGAAGAATGAAAGACAGTTACCCTGGATTTACACTGGGTTATCTGAGATTAATACAGGCCTTAGTATTTACAGAGCACTACTGTAACTGCAAAGAAAAAATATGGCAAAGCCAACATGCTACAAGGCCTCTATGTGTCTTTCTTCTTCCAAAAATCTTTTCATTGGGCTAGGTAATATAATAGGTTAATGAGCTAAATTGTTGCCTGAGGGACAGAAGTTTTATATTTAAACTTCCACCCACAGAGCTGAAAATGCCCCTTGTGAAAGTCAGAGCTAATGATGGAGCTTGTGTGTCTGGCTTGTAATTCCACCCTTCTTGATACAACACCAGTGAAATGGAGAATAGTCAAAAAAATGAAACTGGGAGCCCTGAATCATTCTGTGCTATTGGCTCCAAATACAGAACTTCAGTCAGGACAGAATTTGAGACACGTGAAATAGAGAAACAATTAAGTAAAACTGGAAATAAATAAAAATCCAGACAAATTTTGTGGAGAATTGCTCCTGCTGTATAACCTTGCCTCCTCAATTTTACCTTAGAAGAGTCCAAAGGACAACTGAAGGAAAGGAACTCAAAAAATGTAGCCTTGGACTGTACAGAAGTAAAGAATTACTAAGGTTGGGAAAGACCTCCAAGGTCAAGTCCAACCTTTGACCAAACACCACCTTGCCCACTAAACCCTAGCACTGAGTGCCACATCTGCTTGGGTTTTGAGCACTTCCAGGGATGGTGACTCCACCACTTCTCTGGAGAGCCTGTTCTAATGCCTAACCACTCTTTCAGTGATGAACATTTTCCTAATACCCAACTTGAATCTCCCTTGAGCTATCTCTGGTTGTCTGGGAGAAGAGCCTGACCCTCACCTCAACACAGCCTGCTTTGAGGTGGCTGTGGAGAGCACTAAGTTCTCCCCTGGGCCATCTTTTCCTGCCACATCACTGCTGGAGCAGAAGGGGAGAGAGCTGAGCATGGGGGCCAGCCTTGGGTGGCTAAAAAGCAGCCCCTGGTGCTGCTCAGCTCCAAGCACAAGATCTGTGTCACCACCACAACTCACCAACACCTCCAGCTCCCTGCATCATCTGGGACACGTTTCCAGTGACTCCAATGCCAGGTCCATGTCCTGCAGAGCCCCTTCCAGCACAGCCTGGGGCAGGGAATGGTGTGGAGCTGGGCTGTGTGTCCTGCTCAGCTCCCCAGAGAGCCACACACTTTAAGACACACTGTTCTTGCAGGAATGTAATCCTCGATGTAAAGTTTGTCAGCAAAAATATAATTCACCATGAAAGAATGGGCTACTGTCTTGCTAAAGCATCAAGAGGCACATTTTCAGCAGTCTGGGAGCCTGAGCAAGTGTTGGGAAACTGAGCAACCTGTGTTTGTTCCTCTGACCAGCACAACTAGAACAAAAATGTAAAAACGCTTCCAGTGCTAGAACATTTAACAGCTCAGATTTCAAACAAGGAGGAACTATTTCAAAGCAGAACGAGTGTATGAGATGTTTGTTTCTTTAACTGAATGCAAACTGGATGTGGAATTTCCTCTTGGAAGAAATGACTGAATGGGAGATGGCTTGGACTCCTTTTTCTATATTGCATCATGTACAAAAAAGGACGATAAAATGAATTGCAATTCTGAAGAATCCAGGCAAAAATAGAATAATTATTTCAGTTTAACACCTTCAGTGGGTCTTGCATTGTGCAAATCATGTTTCTATTAGGTTTGAAGACTCTGGGGCCAGAAGTATTGTATCACTCATGCTGAGTTAAATGCTAAAAATAATGCTTATATCCCTTTAAGATAATGGGTTTAAAAGAGAAGTGGCAGCAGTGTAGAGAAGCTGCAAGTTTAGTAGCAGTGGTAACTCTCTGTCTTCAGAATTCCAGTACAGTTTGTATCTCAAGCACTGGGCTAACAAAGACAAACCCAGAGCCATTTAAAATAACTTTACAAACTTGGCCTTATGTGTTTGCAAAGTGAACTAGATATATCAGTTTCTTGTGTAACACTTGAAACATGCTGCAAATATATTAAGAATATACAAACATGAAAATTAGCTCCAAATGCTTTCCAAAAGCTACAGGACACAGCAAGGATCAGCTGCAAATAAACCTGACAGAAAATGGGATAAAATCCCTCTTCTTTCAGCCATGGATAATGGCTACAGAGCTGTTGCTAAGGCAGTGGATGAGGTTTGGCTGGTGGATGCAGGTCTCAGATCAGCATGGCCTCATCTCCAGTCCTCACCTCTTCTAAATGAGAGCTGAGGACTTAAAATCAAAATTTGTCTGGGGTAGGTGTGGAGGTTTTACTGCTGCTGGGAGCTCCTGGGGGAGCTGATCCATCTCCTCAGGCACAGAGTCTGTGTATTCTACAAATACTGCCACTACTAACACAAAACTAACACTGTCATACCACCCAAACAGCCTGCTCTATTTACAAGTTGTATCTGGACTTGACTTTTGAAATGAGGTTTTCCCTCTCTCTTACATGACTTCCCAGCATCTTCAAAGAGGATCTTGGTTTGGGAAATTAAGGATCAGTGGCCAAGTCACCAGGCAAGCTGTTTGCACACAAAGCATCAAGGCCCATTATTTTAACCTCTGATAATTACCACTGTTAGTTAAATCGTGCTTCCCTGATGGTTCTCAACAATAAGCAACAAATGCACAACACATTAATTGCACAAAGTTGTTGCTTGTTCTGAGATCAATTTGTATTAACAGAAAAAGTTTCCATCTTAGTCAGCAAAGCCCTCTCACAGTGACTTTTACAGGGCTGGGAACAAATGTTTTACAGTGGAATTTTGGCCTAGAAGGATGAATTTTAAAGAGTTCACTATAAGCTAATGGCTACAGACTTTGTGTTTCTCCTTAAAGGAGGAACTGTTTTAAGCCAGAGTTGCTGATAGCTGTAAAGGCTCCCCTCCTAAGTCCAAGCCCTGTATTAAAGCTTCTGGATCCTCATGATGAAAATCCTTCACTCAGGATTTGTGAAGAATTGAATTCCACTTTAAACATTTCGGCTATCTGGGTTTCTGGAACAATACATTTTCTTCTAAGAATTGTACCTACCATTTTCTAGCAATCTCTACCCCTCTACTCAGAGAATAAGAATCTAATTGTGTGACCTAAGTGTCCAGTCAGAATTAACCAATATGTCTAGAATTTTACATGCTCATTACTAACCAAATCTAAGTCCAAGAACATCCTGCTGCACTCACACAGGGTGAAATTCCTGGGAAGCAGAGCACTGGCACAAGCTCCCTGCAGACAGAAGCAGCCACATATGCAGCACACAAGCTTTTGTGCCCTCCTGCACAGGGATGATCCTGATCCTGAGTTAAGAATCACAAACAACAAGTGATTTTGCACCGATCCTGCCCTGCTCACATGCAGACATTAAACCCATCAAACAACTGTTTACTGTGACCCATGTAAGGCTGCAGCCCTCCCAGCAGTGAGCCAACATCTTTATCAGATTGGAACTGTTCACACAACACTGAACTTTCAATCCATGTAATCGGTGAATACACAATTATTTCATATTCCTCCCTATCTAGAGAACCCAGGTCTGTTTGCATGCCAAAATGTTTTAGTGTTCCACAAATAAATAAATAAATAAATAATGTTTTTTCACCTGGGGACTGTTTGTTTTGGCCAGCTTGCATGGACTCTGAGTGCCAGCTTATGAATAAAATAATGTTCAATACTGTAAACATCTTGTGACATAAATTCCTGGCTCAGCATAAATACAGACACTCTGTATGTGGCAGGTTCTTCCTGCATTCTCCAGCACTGACACCACTAAATTCATGTATCTATGACAGAGTATATATATAGCTGTAATTCCTAAAAAAAAAAAGCAATCCCAGATAAGCCAATTTGCCCATCCTGGGCCTCTGCTTCATTGGATTTTGCTTGCTGGAGTTTGGGTTTTTGGAAAGCAAAGTGCAACTACTGTATCCCAGTGGTTTCTGCACATGCCGTACATTCCAGAACAGAAAGTAGGTTTTCTGTTTAAAGAACAGCACAGTTAGAAAGATAAGATAAAACCAAACTGGAATATAATATTGCTGGGAATTTGTAGCCCTTTATGCAAACATGGAGTCAGTAATGTAAAGGATGCTTTCTGAACAACACTGGCAAGGGCTGAGTTTCTCACACTGCCAGGCCTCCTTCCCAAGCAAAACCTCATATTACTTTACGATCAGAATGCAAATACAGAGCAGACTCTGCTCTGGTTTAATCCACTGCATTCAGGAATTAATTCCACTGATGTCACTGAAGAAACAATGTTCAGACAGGCCTAAGTGAAGGTAAGCTCCAGCCCTGAGGAAGGGACTGAGGTTTTAGCTCTGCCTCTAAACTGAAGCCCTTCTTTCATTTCAGGTGGCTGGAATGAGTCTAGGACTGGACAATGTGTGTAGATCCCAGGCTGCCCTGAAAATCAGTTAAACTTTTGCTTCCTAAATATTTAAACTGCAAATTGATGCCGACAGCAGACAGGAGCTCAGCACCCTGAACATCTTTGCTCTCAGAAAGAAAACAGCACAAGGTGTTTGCTGTTACCTTGGACCAGTCTCCTGTTTTCCACTCGTAGCAGCCGGTGTGATCCTCACACTCCTCCTCGTCTCTCGGCCTGGTGGCTGCATCACATTTCCCTTGGGAGTTTGTGCACGTCACTGTTCTTTTCTGAATTCCCCTGCCACAGTCTGCTGAGCACTGCAAAAAACCAGGGGTTTGGTGTTTTGTTACATGGTGCTTAGAAATGATGACTTTTATGTTGGTAACACAGCTCAGAGGAAAAGCTGGGGTTATGAACACTGAGGGAAATGATAATCCATAAGGTTTTATTACAATAATCTAAGCCACTCATATATGAGTAATTTGAAAAGCATGATGACTGCTTGTGAAATATTTTACTTATGAAAAATGGCAATTCTGAAAATCAACCTTCTTTGAAAAACGTCAGCTGGCTTTTTGCTAGAATTGGTGTCACTAAACCTTGTGTTGAAGAGCTCCTGGTTCATACTGAAGGACACACTGAGATTCACTACACAGAACTGCCAATCCCTTGATGTATCATGGGATACATCAAGGGTGATAAATGGTGGTGTTAAATGTAATTTTCAATCACAGCAGCATGAGACCACTGTTATAAACACGTTTCTCTAGTACAGTTTCTGCATATCATGGCAAAGTCACAATTCTCACACCTTCTCATGTGAAACACACACATCACGTTCACATTTTGATTTGCCATCACTATCTTTATTCTGAAAAACTCTAACAAACATTTACTGAGTGAGCACAAATTACCCACAATGTTTTTGTGCCTGGGCTCCATGGGATTAGCCTCTAAAGAGCAGTGATATCTGGTCACTCACTTGCTATCTTTGCCAATGGCTGGAAATTCTTGTTTAGTGAAGAATTTGTCTTGATTTTTCTTGGCTGTACGAGGTGGGGAAAGGACACTGGCATGAACTGGACCCAAATTTCTGTTTTCAATAACCAGTTTGGTAACAGAGCACCTGCTGTCACAGCCACCTGAGTCCTTGTCACTACCCCTGAGCACAGCCAGTCTGCCTGCTCCTCATTCTCATGCCACTGCAGTGGTTAAGAGTGAGAAATTGTCTTGCAGAGCCGCTGGGGACAGGTGGGTGGAGAAATGATCTATGTACCAGCTGAGATAAAAACTAACCTCCCCTGGCACGTCAAGTTCTCCCCTTCAGGGGGCCAGCAGGGAAAAGACAGTTGATTTGACACTGAATAAATAGTGCAGATATGAGATATTCTGTGAGGTCTTTTGAACGTGTTCCAAGAAGCTTCTCCATCCAGGGGGTCTATGCTGGAAACAAGCGTCAGCTTGATATAAATTACATCAAATGGACAAATCTCAGCATGCCTGTCTAACTGTCTTAAAAACACAATCCAGGCAGTTCTGACCTGCTGGCCTTGTTAAGGACATGAATGACAAGCGTTTATGAGCTGGCAAGCAAACAGACATGCCTTTAAATACTTCACAGCACTACAAAGTGACTTCTTGAGAATCTGGGAAACCTTCCACTTAATTTACTGTGTGCTGCTCACGGTGTGACCCCTCACGGATGTAACATCTTTGTAAGGAGCACAATCTAGAGTTCTGCTAAGACAGGGGGGTGAGTTCTTCCCAACTTTGCAGAATTCCACAAAATGCTTTGCTGGACTGCTCAGAGAGCAAGGCTTGCCAGAGATCCCAGGCTGGAGCTCCCTAAATGGTACCTTAAAGCCATGAATTTGCCCCAAGTTGGGTAGACTTTCCCAAATTATGTATCATTTTCCTCAGGCCCCAGGGTGGACTCCTCAGGGTTGCACTCGTTCATCTCAAACTACAAAGCTCAATATATAAAAATCTTTGGAACGATCCAATTTACTCGAAGTAAATCAAGCTGAAGTGGGAGTATTTTTCACAGTAGGAGAAATCTCTAGGTGGGTTTTACAAGCAAGTCTGGGAAAAACACCAACTGTTTGTTCTTCCCACAGCTTTTAAGTCATTCACAGATTAATACTGCATATACTTTCCTAGACAAAACAGCATGAGCAAGAAGGTTTCCAACAGATCTTTGGTGGTCACATATAAATCACCCTCTTTAAGAGGTTTTTTTCCTTTCCTCAAGTCATCTGTTTTCATGAAGAATTTCTTAATACATAGATTTTACAGAGTCCACAAATTAATAGACACAGTTCTGTGTGTTCACTCAAGATCACTAAGTCTTATTTTATTAACAAATTACTTTGTCAGATCCCATGAAGCTTTGCAAAGGAGCAACACAACTTTGCAGTTAAGACACAACTCCTTTATCTGAAGGAAATCCATATTTTTTTCCACTCTATTTCTCTAACAGTAGAAACATTCACCTTCTCCTGACAGTCTCTATTTTTATCATTAAAAATGGGTCGAGCAGTACTTTGTCCAAAACAATCTCAAGTGTTTGGCAATACAAGGGGAACTTAATTTTTTCCATGATGAAGATTGTATTGGAATTTGCTGTGAAAACACACATTTTTGACCAGGGACCAGACATCAGTGCAGTCAACTGCGTTGCATGAGCAAGAAGTTAAAAAAAAAAAAAACAGAACAGAAAATAGATTTATAAAATGATACAATATCAGTGATATTTATTTATTCCTCAACATCAGATTAAAATGCTAAGGAATAAAGTGATTACCACTGAAGAAAGTCCTAGGTGTGAGAAGAGTTCACATTGGCAGAGTATCAAATGTGTCCTGGAGTCAACTGAGCTTCATAACAGCAGAAATGGGTCAGAATAACAAATTTAAAATCACAAGTGCACAGTTACAGACCCAACAAAAGTAAATAAATGTATCAAAGGATAAGTAAACTAGCTATTGAAAAAATTATCTAAAAATGCTATGTATTTGTAAAGGAGTTACATGGTCACGGACATGGAAGATTTCCACTAATCTGTAACTTGACATTCTCTATTCCACAAAAGGGAGACAGAAGTACCTGGGATTGTTAACAAAAGACTCAAGGAAAAAATCCACATGTAAACCAGTTAGGAATTGCACCCTAATCTCAGCTATAAACAGTTCAGCTGGTTTAGCTATAAGAAATAGAGAGGGCATCCTCTGAAAGGGGAGCTCACAAAAGGCATATCAGACAACTTACTAAAACCTTGGTGTGTTTGTGCACATCTTTTGTAACAAAAGAATCTCATGCACCAGTGAAGGATCCAGCACCCCACTGAAAGGGAACACTGCTCTCACTTAACCATCACCTCTCTTGCCAAACTAAGATTTCCTGTCCAGGAGGTGTACAATGAAATCCCATTCTGTTTGTGAGGAGACACTGCTCCTCAGGATCCCTTCTGTCCTGAGCTTCTGTGACTTTAAGCACATTTCTAACAATAGTATCTAGCAAAAGCTCTTTGACAATGTTTTAAACAGGAGCTCCCTGTTCCAAACAGAGGGGAATAATGAGGAATCCTTCCCACAGGAAGGGCTGTTGCTGGACAGCCAGGCTGGAATGAGGCTGGTAGAGCTGTAACCCTGCAGCCAGAGTGAAAAGAGCTCATCACTCAGGTGAGCCCAGCAAATACAAAATCAAAGTGAACATGGGCATCCTGTAAGGACTGCTACGCACAGGTACAGACAAAGCTGCCCTGTACTAGCTGAGTCCTGGTCATCAACTGCAGGCACACTCCCAGATCATTCTGCTGCTAAACAAAACACAGGGTAACTGTCTAGAGCTGTCATCATTTACATCAGAAATGCATTCATAGCACTTGGGAAAAAGGTCTTAACTCTGCAGCTACTCTGAGATGCATCTTTTATACAAAATGTAACCAGCTTTTTCTTCTTCCTGGAATTATACCAAAGAAGTCTGGATAGGGCCCAAAGATTGTCCATTCTCTGTAACATGCAGATGCCTGATAAGCCTGGTATTTCTTCACACCACATTTAAATGGAGCCAGAAGCCCTGGGTTACTGCACTTCTGGCCTCAGGTCAGTGAAACATTTTCCCTTCTTGGTCAGAGTTTTCAGATGGATAGATAAGTCACTAGAGCATATCTAAACCCTGCCTTACTAACTCATCTGGTCTGGAAACCAAACCTGAGCTCCTCACTGCTCATCTCAACGGATGAGAGTCCTGCCCAGCTCTCCAGAGCTGTGGGGATGCTGACCATGAGAACCATGCATTAAGGCCAGTGTATCCAGAGCTCTGAGCAGTCTGGCTCCTCTCCAGTGAAGGTCCTACCTTTGACCACTCTGATGCTTCCCAGATGGACAGGCAGTCCCTGCCCTCACAGCTCTGCACCGTGGCAGGTTTGCTGCCCAGGCAGTAGAGGTCCCTGGTGTTGACGTAGGTGCCGTTCTGCAGCTGATAGACACAAGTGACCTCCCGGTGCTGCACTCCCTTCTCACACGTGGCAGAGCAGGGACTCCAGTGGCCAGTCACCCACCTGGGAAGGAGCCAGAGGATAAAGGTTAGCAAACTGTTGGAATAAAACATTATGCTTCACTTAAAGCCAGTGAGAAGTGGGCAGCTCTTCCTGGGTGTGTGGGTGCTTTGGTGGTGCTGTGCTGCTGTCACCCTGAGCTCACTGATCCCCTCTGGGAGCTGAAGTGTGTAAAGCAGCAGTGTCAGTATGCAAGGGAATACTCCCTCTTGGCTCCATGTCAGGCAAAAGCCCAAACTCTGCATCATTCCCTTTAACTCCACTCTCTGCAGTGGGGTTGGTTTTTTCTCTCAGATAGAGACAGACTTGTCTGCAGACTGTCCTGCAAAACCATTCCTTGCAAGGGAAAGGAGGAATCCTCCCTGCTCTGTCTTCCAGCTCCACTGACTCCAGCAAGTGCTGAAGCAGCAGTAGGGCTACAAGCAGTGAATAAAGTGTCTAAGAAGGATCTGAAAGAGGAGGGATGGAGGGAATGACATTTTTTTCTAAAAGAAAAGCAGCATCAATCTTCAGCTTCCTGCAATCAGTCAGTGAGAGCATGTTCTCTGTAATCGCAGGCATTCCTGCATGGAGTGAGGGACTGGAGCAATAACTGTGCAGCCACTGAGCACCAGAAGGCTCTCATGCCTTTCTCACCAGGCAATTGACCTTCTAGCCTGTTATTTAGGACTGTCATCCAGATCTGTATCCTTACACCATGAATCTTTTACCTGTCACCCAGTCCTGGGCTGTCTATTATGGTAAGGGGCCCAAAAAAGACTTCTCAAAAAGGTCTGCTGAGAAATACTATCTCATTCTGCTGGAGACTCCTTTAACCCAGGTAGAACAACTTATTTACCACATTTGTTTTGAAGGTGTTGTGTGTTACTTCTCTGAAATGAATTAAAAAACTATTTCCCTTCCCTGAAGGGGAGAAAATCAGCTCAGCACCATTTGTAGGAACATCTTCACCTGCTGCAACTGTCATGAATTCATTTGTGAATGCCACGAGTGGTGTGACAGCACTGATGACTGTGCTGACAGTGCAGGCAGAAGCCATTTGGTTTGAGCAGGACTGTGCAGACTGGCCACCTGTCTTTTGTGGAACAGGACTCTGCTCAAATGTTCCTGTGCATTAAAGCAGTTGACTGACACATCTGTGAATTTCTGTTGGCTAAAACAGCTGAAGAGACACCAAACCTGTTTCTCCAGACTGCAGTTTTGGTGCATCTCCGTGGCCCAGGGCTTGGTATTTCTCCTACGGAATGGGAAAATGTCAGCTGGGAAATTGAATACCAGGGCTGAAAGCCTGACAAAAATAGCCCTGAAGTGCAGGAATCAGCGTTCATGAAAATGAATAGCCAGGCCTCCTTGGTATCAGCTGGGCTCTGCCCTGTTGGAGAAACGTGAGGGAATTATCCACCTGGGGGAAGGAACCTCCTGACAAAGGCCTGGAGGGCAGGAATGACTGTGCTTTATGGGCTGAGTGTGAGTCACAAGGCTGGCAAAGGGCTCTGCCCAGGCTCCACTCAGCTAATATTCACTTCAGCACTGTGCTCTCACTGTGATCTACAGCTACTGGCAGAAGAAAAAGGGAAAGGGGCTGAAAGCAAAGGAGAAAGATTAAAATACATTCTTGGCAGAGGCTGTCTGTGAGCTTGCACTTAGGATGGGCAGCACACAGCATGCCAATTATTTCCAAGATGCCTTAAGAAGAAAGGTTATGGCTTTCCTTTTAGGAAGGAAAATTCCTTTCTATTTTTTTGTTTGTTGTTCTTGTGGAGGGGAGAAATCACCTGGTTTCTACCCTGTTGCTGGTCTCTCAGTACCAGCACAGACATGACAGAGTGTAACTAGAAAATTAGCACAGAAAAAACAATCATTACCATCATCATGAGAAGAATGATTACATAGGGAATGAGCTGAAACCCAGGGTACCAATACAAAGATGTATCTGTGGTGAAATCAATCTCCAGCTTCAGCCACCATTCTCTACATCCACTCCTGATCCCAACCCTATGGTTACAGATCAGGTGGGGGAATGCTGTAAGGGATCTCTGAAACCTCACAGCCCACTCTGCCCTGCCTGTGACAGTCAAAATACTTAGAAATTAAAGGCTATTTTCAAGTGGTGGTTTTACTTTCACATCCAGGAGACAAGTGAGATTAAATGTCTGAATAATACTAATATGTAAAGTAGGTTATTTTCAAAAGCACCAAGGGGATGATGATCACTTTCACCACTGAACTTCATCCTCTCAGTGAAATCTTTGCTTGAATCAATGGCTTGTAAAAGCAATCTGGCAAGTAAGTAAAGGTGAGTGCTACACACAGTCCTGGCAGTGCCCTGAACCCCCACAGTTCCCCCAAATTCTCCTTCACAGGCAGCTGAAAATATTGTTTTAGTGCCTGTAACACACAGGAACACTGCAACTATATTTCAACAATGTTCACAACCAATGTGGAAAGACAAAGGATTTATGGATAAAGTGATTAAAGATGAAAATTCCTGCCAGTTTCAAATTTTTGGAAGGAATTTGCAGCAAGATATTAGCAGAATTACTATCTGCAAGTAATATACAGACAGGGGAGAAAAATGTGATGTACAAATAGTATCACATTATGGTACCTATTAAATTACAGCACAGGTAGATTTTTGTCTCTACACTGTCATTACACCTTCTGAACACACCTGAGTTTGTTTAACAACAAGACCTACTTAGAGGGTGATTTTCTTTAAAAAAAGGAGGCATTTTCTTATGACAATGTCAAAAATAACTCCAGTGTTCTAACTCCAAACCCCAGGCTGGCTCAGCATTATTAACTAAGCCAATTAACTGCTGTACACTAAGCCCTGTGTATATCATATACAGAATTTGGCTTCCAGTTACACTTTAAGCCTGTAAACTGATCTTAGGGATTGCTTGACACCAGAGTTCCTTTCAGCTTGGTCTTTTTCCCTCCCAGGTTATAACCTATCTTCTGTGGGAGCTGGGGAGTGCTCCAGCTGGGGTCCCAGGAGAGCCTCTCACTTTGCCAACAAACACTGATTTACGTGACAAACACACTCATCTTTTCACAGCCACAGGGATGCCTTCATCCCTGGTATTATTATTTTTTGTAATCTTACCTCTGCAGAAGATTCCAGATCTAAGTGATCCCTGCTGGTGGTTAGATTCAGGAAGAAAGTGATGAGCTTTTAAGCAGAGATTTTACCCCAGTCAGTGGCTGTCTTTCCAGCTAAAATATGCCCAGAAGGGTGTGATTTTCAAAAGCTTCAAAAAGCTGGGATGGGCAGGACATGCAATCTGAGAGGGCTGCTCTAAATCCTTGTCTTCTGAGTCTTCCTCAACCTCTGACCTCTCAGTATCTCTTCTGAGGAATTGGGAGTTCTTCTTCTAATCTGCTTTGGCAACACTCATCTGGCAGGCCCCTGGAGCAAACTTGAAATATCTTTTGGAGATTCAGTTCATCATTTGATCTTTCTATGGTCTGGATTAGTTTTTAACCTTGAATTATCTACTCTACCTGCTTGCCTAAGACTCCCACATTTTCTAGGAAAAAAAAATGCCTGCAGCACAATGTACATAAACCCAGGGGAGATGAATGTCTGCAAATGAGGGCTTGGAGCTAAAGATTTGGGGAAAAAAAGTTAGGAAGACAAAATGGATGAAGAACCTGTTTTTTTAGAGCTGGCTCTTACCTACAGTTTAGAGCCTGTGCTACTGCTGAGTAAAGCATCAGAGGAAACTTCCTACAAAATATGTCTGAAAAAGCCAGGTGACAGAAACAGACCTAAAGCTATGCAATGTGAGGGTCCTATTTCTAACAGATTTTACTGAAAACCTTTTGGTTTAATGCACAGGTGAGGATAAGTCCATGCCCAGTTAGCACTGGTTGTCTTTAGCACCGGTTTGTGACACAAAATCAAGTTGAAGTCACTCCGTTTTCTGAGGCACCTGGAGGAAACTGTGGCTCTACTGATTTAGGCAAAAGTCAGACCAGCTTTCAGCAGGGCTGGGTTTTTACATTGGATAATTTTAGCACGAAGAATTGGAAAAGATTTCTTAGAATCAGTCATGTGGAACTGACAGATATACTTTGCTTATAGCTGTCAAACCAAGCTCATGCTCGGCTGTGTAGAAGAAAAGTCTCTTTACAAATGGAATTGTGTTTCCCATGAAACACACAGACACTGCTATTGGACTGTCCTCTCCTCACACACTCCTGAGGCTCTCCACCACCTCTCTGCTGCACTGGGCTCAAAACAATCAGGTGAATCTTGTCTTTTGGGAACAGGTTGTGCCACACCCAGTCACTAAAAGGCTTTTTTTTTCTTTTTTGGAGAAAAGTACAAGGAATCTAGTAGAATAATACAGCTGCTGATGTTGAAAGTAGGACTCCAAGACTAACATTCCTGTCTGATTGCCTTTATAAACAGTGCTCAGTAATTTTCCAGTACAGTAGTCATTCTGCTAACAGACTTGCCAACTTTCACTCACACAGGTTTCTTTTTTTCTTTAGTGATTATAATTTTGACAGCTTTTTTTTTTCTTTTTCAATTTCCCACCAATAAGATCAGCCATGGAACAATGTTTTATAATTTACATACACCTTGGGAAGGTCTTTCTTCAGATGGAAGCCATTGTTCCCTCTCCTCCTCCCCCAGACAAGCAGATCTCTCAGTTTTGGAGGACTCAGTGTGGGGTCAGTGTGAGGAGGTGGCACCAAGGGACAGAATTTCAGCACTCTCAGAGCTCCTCTGCAGTGAGTTTTCCCTCCCCACCTCCATGGTAGGTGTAGCTTTAATGGGGCAACTGGTTTCCAGCTCCACTCCCTGCCTTTCCAGGAAGGCAGTGCCTTCTCAGCTCCCAGAACACGATGCAAACTGTGAAGATCATTACAGCAGGCAGCAGGAGGAGTGGATTTCACAATTAAATATTTTGCTATATTATCCTGCTAATCCTTTTCTGTGGGTTAGAACAGCACTTGGCCTGAAGAGCTTCAAAACAAAGCAGCACAGA